CAAAGAAGAGAGCCCCTAAGGCTGATAGTCGACAGCAAGTATGGAGCAACACACAAATTGGCAAAGTTTATATGTTTAAAAGTCAAGAACTTAAATGATAGACTATCAAACACGGTGAAACATTCATATGAATTTTCTTAAAAAATCAAAAACATGGCACTGGAAAAAATGGACTCACTGGTAAGTTTCGATATGGAATCGATGTATGCGAATATCTCTAGAGAAAATGCGCTAACTTTCCTGCTGGAAATCCTGAACCGATAGGAGGATATCCTGGAATCACAACGGATTGGTATGGAATCATTAACATGACTAATCAACTTGACAATAAGGACAACCTAATTTACATTCAACGGGAACATCTATGAACAAATATTTGGACTTCCCATGGGATTGCCGCTTTCACCACTTTTGGAAAACGTATACATAAAGAAAATTGAAGAGAACTTCAAGATTTCACCGCTGCAACCAACAGTGCTTATGTGGTACCTGGATGATTACTTCGCACTTTGGTAAAATTGAAGAGAAACACTGGAAGATTTTCTGAAGTTTTTAAACCAGATTGATGAGAAAATTAAATTCATGATGCAATTATAGGAAGATGAATGTTACCATTTGTCGATTTTGAAGTGATCCGCTCTAATGCGACGCTCAAAAAGAAATCGTCCAGAAAGAATGCTTATACCGAGAGAATAGTCAATTTCCAGTCCCATTATAATTACAAGCTAAAATAGGAATGAAGAAAAACTGGGTTTCGAAGAATTTCTTAATAAATTTTTGTGGCATGACTCTCCATTTCGAAGGGAAAGTTGGTTAGAAGGAGTTCGTGAAGTGTTCTCACCGGAAATCAAATGACGATTGTCGAGTAAGGAAGACTGTTTAGTTGTGCAAAGAAGTCCTCAGCTCACCGTCCTGCGACCCCGATGAAATTGTGCTAAGCTTTCGTCTGTACCACCGTGATAGACATCATCACAGAAAGATTACATACTTTAAGAAATAAAGCCAAAATATACTAAACCAAGTGAAAACTTGGCCGGCTGCAATCTTAATCGCTTTTTTAGACACCTAACATCGCTATCTTAATGAGGCCTTCCATGATTTAATTGGCGAATTCACCTTTATTTTACATGCTTGCAAATGAGTGAAATTAACTTCCAGAACCGGAAATTCGCTCGGCAGAATCGTAGGGTCTATTAAGGCAATATAATTCACAAGTCAACACACGAAACATAAATGGGTTGAGAAATATGATTGTTCAGCAATTATGAAAACTACTATGGCAGAGGATATCGGGCAAGGTGCGTTCAAAGAAGTCGCCTTGGCAACAAGACCAAGTTGCGAAAAAGCCGTCAACCCACTTCTATAAATTGAAACGAGACTGCAAACATACTGATGGCCACAACATCTTGTAATTCATATCTGCGATTGAAATTCCTGAATTTATTAATAATTCCTACAAGTGGATTGGGCATATTCTGTGATCCTTCTTTCTATTTACTGTACTGTTGCTCTTCAACTAAGTAAATTCGAATATTTGGAAGACAACATAGAGCTATTAGCTCCTCACGAAATCTCAAGTTACGATCCTTCACTGTGATTATAATGCAGCAAACTTAAAAACTTCCTTCACCTTTCAAGGATAATCAGAGAGAATGGGAACCGTTCGGTTTTCGTCAATTCGGGGGAGGAAAATTGGCAAATAGTTCTGTTGAAACCAATTAAGGGTGCATAAAGCATGCAAAATGATATTATCTGGAGTTCAGAATATTGATTGTTTTCTTTATTTGCTTAATTAAAATATGCAAATATGAGTTGGGATTCAAAGAATTTCTTGTTTCTTAATTTCATTTCGAGTGAAAGTGTTTGTTGAGGAGATTCGAAGCTCGATTCCACCAGAAGACGACGACAGATTCCTCTCGACCAGCTGTCGATTGGCTTTACTGGAACATTCATGCCGACGCTGTCTCCGCGGTAATCTCTTTCGATTTCGGTGTAAAGGTGCTAAGCTTTCGTCCACCATATGACTAACATCATCAGAGCAAGGTATCATCATCACAATCAAATTCAAGCTAACGAGTAAAGACAACTCACCAGCAAATCCCCAAAAAGTGGTATATATACTCTATATCTGGCCTCTTTGATCAGGTATAAAGTGATTTGGTTAGTTAAGGTCATATATCAACATTTTACTTGTCTGTTTAGCTTGAATTTGGCTGTGATG